AAGTATGAGACAAAAATAATTACACATAATCTTAAAATTTCTAAGGTCATAGTTTAGTCAACTAGTTTTAGGAACAAAATATATGTCTAGTCAAGCTTTATCTGAGGTCTGGTTTTTGCCCAAGCATTGTCTACATGGCACATGGCAATTAAAAGTACAAGACTGGTGGAACTAATATTCTTGGATGTTTAATAGACATACTTTGAGGCCTACACTAATCTGGTCAGAGGGACTTAAAGAACAGTTTTTTGCTCCTTGCTCTCCAAGGCTGAATAAGTCCCAGGGACTATGGAGCATCTCTCAAAATGTCCTTTAAGTGTGGTGAGTCGCCTGTCCTCTTGTTAAGGGAGGTCATGGAGACCCCACAAATGGGCTTGAACCAGTGTCTACTCTACAACGAGGAGGGTCAACTCAGAAGAAACATTTCCTCCATGCTTCCAAGTGAAGCCAGCCATGGTCGAGCAGGACCTTTGACTTATCTTCACATAGGCAGAACTGGTAAAAGAAAGGAGCCAGGAGCTCCTAACAAGCCCCTGTGACCCCTGAGGAACACATCCTCAAATGACCTTAAGAGTAAAATTAAGTTGGTTTATTTGGGTCAACTGTATGGTCTTAAACACCCAAAAGGAAAGTATAACCAAAGATTAAAGGGGCCAATATAATTTCATAAGAGTCCATATGTGTAGCTAAAGGCTACATAGCAAGCAACAATGCCAGACAGGCAATACCTCTTTTGAGTTGTTGGCCAGGATGGACAAAGGGATTCCCAGATAGTGACCCAGTATAGAACTGGGAAAATGAACAGCAGACCCCAATCTTATCCAAGGGAATATTGACAACTGATTACCACTAGATGAGGAACAGCTGACCCTCCTAAAACAAAGACCTCTAGATAGGCTGAGTAGATTCACCAGAAGGGCAAGTAGTGAGGAATGGCTGGGGGTGCAGGTGCCGACAACACAGCAGACAGTAGCAGGAATATCAGAGTATAAGGTCTCTAGCGGGGGAAGGGAGGCTATGGGAGGGTGCTATCTGGGAAGTGGGTGTAAAAATAAATAAAATAATAATAATAATTCTTCAAACCATAAAAATTTGCTCCGTAATGATTAGTAGATGTGAAAAACATTACCATTGAAATCTACCTGATGA